GAGCAGCGCTCCACCTCCAAGCGCTATCAGCGCCCACGCGGCGAAGGAGGGCCAAACCTTCGACGGCCATGCCTGCGACCGTTTGGCGCTGGGATGCGCTCCAATCGGCGCCATCGGCAGCGAGCGCAGCGCAGATCCACCACCACTTCGGGGACATCTTGACCAACCGCCTTGCAGCGCAGACGCGTGCTTCAACTCCGCACGGAGACCGGCTTTGCCCTCATCTTCGAGTCCCACCTCTTCTTCGCCATCGTCAGCTGGCGACGCCAGTGAAGTGGCCGCCGTGCGCCCGCGGGGAAACGTCGCGGCCCTCTGGCACCTGAGACATCCGCGAGTGCAACAGATGATCTCCTGACGTCTGCGGAGGATCCGCTCGCCCCGCTCGGCGCCGTGCCCGTCGACGGCGGACCGCAGCTGATGGGCCTTCCCCCTGGAACGCCCCATGGCGACCGATGTCGCTGAAGCCAGGCATGTGGCCCTGCGCGACGAGAGCGGGCGGCGGGCCTCAGCGCGGCTTCCCAGCGGCAATCATTTGAGATGCAACTATCGCCAAGACTGGTTGAGGTGGTGCCTACCTTTTATCCGCACAGCTTTGGGCAATGGTCTGGGGCGACGCTTGCAACTGAGCGCGCTGCGACCGTGGGCGACCTGGCGCGAGAGGTGCGCATTAATGCTCGGGAACATGGCGCTCCCAATTGGCGACTGTTGGCGGGTGCCTGCCTTGCGTTGAGCGCGGGGAGTCGCGACGAGCGCGTCCGCGCCCACCCTGCCTACCACCGCAACGACTTGAGGTGGCTCCAGGGCGCGCTTGGCCCACGTGCGCCGCGGGCTGCAGAGGTCGCGACGGAACCCGCCACGCCGCCGAGCAAAGAAGAATATCGACATGTAGCTCCACTCGCGCGTGCTCGCGTGGATGATGTCCTCGCCGTCGCGGAGGAGGGCTGGGAGGCTACTCCGCGCCGCACTTCGCCACCAGTTTCCGCCGATCGAGGGCGAGGGCGCGGGCCGCAACGAGACGGCGCGCGAGGGGGCCCTGGAGAAGCAGCTCGCCGACTTGCGCAAGCAGCTGGAGTCCAAGGGCGACGACTCGGACATGCAGGTCGATGAGAGCAGCGGGAGGCCCACTGCCGCTGCCGCCGTCGACAGCGACAAATGGAGGCCAGGGCTAGCGGAGGCCGAGGATGCGCGAGGCTTGGCCACGGGGGCTCACCTCGGAGTTCACCCCGCAGCAGAAGATGCACTTCGAACGGCGCCGCGACAGCTGCGCGGCCATGCCGCGGGAAGCGCAGCCTTTCGAGCGGAGGGCCCACGACGTGGCCAACCAGAGGAAGCAGCTCACCATCAAGAGAGACAAGCTTGGGATGTCGGTGGGGGCGGCGAAGGCGGCCGTCGAGGAGGCAAAGAACGTTCTGGAGGAGGCCGAGCGAGCACGCGCCGAGGGGCTCGAGCAGATCGTGACGAAGGAGGCGGAGCTTAGGAAGTTGCTGGGCGCCCAGCCCAAGCTGCTGCCTGAAAGGGCGCTATATCCCACCATTTTTCTGGAGCTTCGGTCGGGGAGCTGGGTCGGCTCTTCAGGGCAGGAGGATAGGGCGAGCAGGAGGCCGCGACGTCGTCTGCCCGCGTCAAGCCTGCCGCGTCTGCCGTCGTGGACTCCGAGAAGAAGATCATAACGCATGTGCAGCAGCCAGAGCCTGCGCGCGTTCCTGGCGACGCAGTCGCCCCTGATCCGGCATCTGCTCCTTCTACTCCTGTGCAGTGTATCTGCGACGTTCCTCACGGCGCGGGGGGTATTGAGGCTCAGTGAAGGTGGCCAGAGTTTGCCGGAGCGGGCTCGCACGGCTTGAGGGTTTGTAGCGGTGGTTAATTTGTCTTTGTAGATCACTGACGGATGCTACAGTTCAGACTCCCAGTTGCACCTTTGCCCAGCAGCTGCGGGGGTTCCTCTCGCAAATAAAGTCTATGGTGCCACGTGTGCAAGAACGCCGTCTGCTGGCAGGCAAGTTGGCGGATTTTCAGAACAGCGCGCAGCATTTAAAGCGGCATGGCGTTTGGGCGGAGGCCTAGGCCATGGCTGCAGACAGTACATCGGCAGGAGTAGCTGTGTGGGCACCAAAGAAGGTGACTACTGCGGCCGCGCCCAACTCGAAGGCTGGCGTACTCGTCCCACACGGGCTCCTTGCGGCCCAAATGCACTGGGTGCCCCCCAGGGTTTTACTACACATTCCGTCTACATGCATGTGAGCGAGGGCCTTTTCTGCCAAGAGTGTTGAGATCCTCCATGCATTGGCCAGTCATGTGAAACAGGTGACTTTCAACGTGTCGAGCGCTGACCTCACGAGTCAAGGTTGGCTTCCATCGGTTGGTGGGCCGACCATCAAGTGGTGCGTCGACGTGTCGCCAGTCGTTGCATGGATCGGTCATTGCTTACTTCTTGATTGATGAAAGGTTGGTTGGAGGAGTTCGGAAGCCGTTTGTTGTTGAAGAGGTGGAGACCAAACCACAGCTGCCTGTCAGCATGATTCGAGATGCGAAGGAGAACCCTCGTTTGTTGCGTAAAGTGAAGGAGGCGAACGCACTTCCTGTCGTTGTGAGGCCAGTTTGCGCCAGACCCCCATGCTCGTGGTGGTTTCCCGCGAGGTCCTGGAGGTGAGGGCGAAGGCTGACCTGGCAGAGGCTTGGCTTGAAGTGCTGAATACATTGGAGGGTGAGCTGGCAGGTCGACATGATACTGTTGGTGACAATGTCCTGCCTCATGTGTCCAAGAAGGTTGGAGCCAACGCGTGGATGAGCAGGAGCGTAGCGAGGTGAAGGTCAGCGCCACCGACGAGACCGAGCCCGCGTGGAAGATCGCCGAGAGATGGTCGACGCATATTCGGAGGGTGGGCGCTTTTGTTTCCCAACCGTCCAGTGTTGGGCACTCGTTTTGAATAGAGGAGCGTGGTCTCCACCTCCTCCTCTCCTCCTCCTCCTCCTCCTCCTCGTCCTCCTCCTCCTCCTCCTCCTCCTCCTCCTCCTCCCTCCTTCTCTTTTGTTTCCAGTGTTCCCTTCTCCTCTTCTCTCGTGCCGTCTGCGATCTGCGCAGTTGTCGACACTTTCGCGGGCTCTTGGGAGGCCCGGCGGAGGTGGGTCCCACGCGGACCACCTCGGGACCTCGCCGCCCCCTGGCGGGCTTGCGATCTGCGCGACTGTCGCCACTTTCGCGGGCTCATGGCAGGCCCGGCGGAGGTAGGTCCCACGCGGACCACCTCGGGACCTCGCCGCCCCGTGGGGGGCTTGCGACTTGCGCGACTGTCGCCACTTTCGCGGGCTCCTAGGAAGCCCAGCGGAAATGGGTCCCACGCGGACCACCTCGGGACCTCGCCGCCCCGTGGGGGGCTTGCGGATCTGCGCAGTTGTCGCCTTTCGTGGGCTCTTGGGAGGCCCAACGGAGGTGGGTCCCACGCGGGCCACCTCGGGACCTCGCCGCTCCCTGGGTGGCTTGCGACTTGCGCAACTGTCGCCACTTTCGCGGGCTCCTGGGAGGCACAGCGGAGGTGGGTCCCACGCGGACCACCTCGGGACTTCGCCGCCCCCTGGGGGGCTTGCGATCTGCGCGGCTGTCGCCACTTTCGCGGGCTCCTGGGAGGCCCAGCGGAGAAGGGTCCCACGCATGTATATGTCCAAATCCATTGGGTAAATGATCTGGGTACTTGGAGACTCGTTTTTTGACGCCCCACGGAAAGGCCCAAAATGGAAAGAGCTGGGGGGGGGATGGGTATGGATGAGCCGTTGGAGAGACACCGTATCTCGCTACTTTTCCTAGTCTTTCTCTCGCACTACTGCTTCCTGCACGGCGCACTCGCTATCCAGTAGGTTATCCACCAGGCAACCGGCTGTGAAGGAGGAGCGTTAGGAGGGAGAGTCAGCAGGAGCAGGGAAGGAGAAGGGAGGGGTTTTGGGAGGAGGGGAGTGGAGGAGTTTCAAGGAGGGAGGAGGAGTTGACGAGTCGTCGGCCGCCTGCTTTTTCTGACTCCCTTGTTTTCCTGTTAGGGCGGGGCCTCCTCCTCCTCTCCTCCTCTACGCCTCCTCTACTCCTCCTCCTCCTCCTCCTCCTCCTCCTTCTCCTCCTCCTCCTCCTCCTCCTCCTCCTCCTCCTCCTCCTCCTCCTCCGCCTTTTCCTCCTCCCGTCCTCCCAGCTCGGTCGGTCTGGTGAGTTACTGGCCACACGGCCGTCGCTGCCGCGGCTGCCGCCAGCTCCAGGGACTCCAGGAGTACACAGGAGGACGCAGGAGGAGTACAGGAGCAGGAGGAGCCGGAGGAGAAGGAGGAGGAGGAGGAGGAGCCTGAGGAGCAAGAGGAGTGCGTGGAGTCGGAGGAGGAGGAAGCTGAGGAGGCCTGAGGAGGAGGCGTATTTTCCACTTTGCTCTTGCTCATCGCCTCGGCGATGACGAGATGTCATTGTTGTCATTGGTGCTGGCGGCGTCGGCCTCGGCCATCCGCAATGCTCTCCTTCCTCGGCCGTGGAGCTGCAGCGGCGGCAGTAGTCTCGAGTCCGACTCGAGCCCTGACCTGGGGGGCCCGCGCCACCACTGCGACGCCGAAGAGGAGCGCATCAAAACTCAAAATCACAATCCTGCAGCACACCTGGACATGAATCACCGCTGCCCGTCCGTCGATTCGGCCGTCCAGGCTTCAAATGAGCACAAGATTACCAAACTGAAAACTGAGAACGAAATACGCAGCCTCGCTCACGAGGCGTAAATGACCGCAGGCCGCAGGCCTGCCATCAAAACGCAACGACCACGCCACGGCATGGATAGCCCCAGAAATAGAGGGGCCATAGTATTCGGCAGACGCTCCATCCTCCTAATCCTCATTCATCCTCATCCTTCCTCCTCCTCCTCCTCCTCCTCCTCCTCCTCCTCACGTTTCCTCACTCATTCTTGCTGCTGTTCCTCATTCCTATGTCCCATCCCTCATCGCGTGGCAGGCCTGCTACACAAGACTACGATACAAACCAACTAGCCCACAAGATGCTTCACTGAGCTCTTCGATGCCTCCGCGATGTCGTCGTCGTCCTCCTCGGCGTCGCCGTCGAGGGCGTGGGCGCCAGCATCGTCACCAGTGCCAGTGATCTTGATGTTCTTCTTGGCCTTGCGCTTGCCATGGTCCACCGCGGCCCCAGCCCCCATGAACTTCAAGAGCTCCGTGGTCAGCTTCTCGACCGCCTTCCCATGGGATTTCTTGTCCGATTTCAGCACCTCGTCGTCGAAGGCCGGGCGGGTCAGCGGGATGCCGTACGGCCGCACGTTCGCCGCCTCGTAGCCGACGACACCTCGCAGCTGCTTGCTGTCAACGATGATCATGTCCGCCGCATTTTTCCCGAGCTGGAGCTTCTCTGGGATCTTCAGGCGCAGCACGCGGTCCTCGATCACCATAGTAGCTTTCTCGTCGACCGGCTTCACGCACCAAGCTGGAACGACGCGCTGGCCGAAGATGTCGCTGGCGCCCTGCCCGCTCATGTAGATCGGCACGTTGAACGTGAAGACCCGAGAGACGGGCCCGTTGTCGGAGTCCGAGCCATCCTTGTCCTCAGGCTCCTCCTTGTCCTTCTTCGACTTCTTCGAGTCCTTCTCCTCAGACTTCTTCTCAATCACCGTTGGGTCGGTCGTGACAGTGATCATCCCGATCTGGGTGCACAGAGCGGTCCGGTGGCACATGATCTTGCCCGTGAACGGAAGCACGAAGTCTTTGAAGGATGCGACGTCCAAGGTGCAAGCCATCTTGTCAGCAGCGTCGGTCTTGGCTCCAGCCTTGGCCGCGGCTTTCGCCTTGGCCTTGGCCTTGGCTTTCGCCTTGGGTCTGGCCTCGCCCTCGTCTGTGTTCGCCACGTCTACTTCCACGGCCGGCGGCGCCTTCAATGAAGTATTGACGACGATGTGTTTGGTCTGCTTCTCGATGCCGTCACGATTCTCTTCGATTGCAAACTCGATGTACGGTAACAGTCTAGAGACCCAGTCCATGTTGAAGTTCTTCCTCACCTCTGGGTCCCTCAGGTCCACAACGTACTTGTGTGCGAACAACTTGTCGAGGTGAGCTGCGATGGGGTCGGTCTGTGGGAGCGCCGCCCAGGAATGCGGCGTCTTGCTGAGAAGGTCAATCTTCTCGTAGTCTTTGAAGGACACGATGCTGGACATCACTGCCCAGGGGGTCACCTGCAGCACGCCGCCGTCGCTGGCATTCGAACCCTGGCTCTCCGCCTTGGAAGTGGCCGCGTCAATCTCCACGCCGAACTCCTTGAGGACGGCCGCTTTGACGGCGCTCAGCATCTCGGGCTCGCTGTCCTCGGAGAGGCGGGCGCCCAAGAAGGAAGCCCAGACGCTAGCATACTTGCCCCCCATGAGTGTGTGGTCCCGCGCAGCGTTCCGTCCGATGGTGTCGAAAATGTCCAGCACGCCGCTCTTGTTGACATCTGGGCGCTTGATGGCCTTCACGAGCTTGCTAATGGCCAACCGGTCCCCGTCCGACATGGCGGAAGCATCATCATCAGCGACGATGTCTCTCAACACATCCAGAGTATATTTCTCCCGCAGCGCCAGAAAGTGTCCGATGTCGTTCGGCCTCATGATGGTCGTGACCCAGTCTGGGAGCTTCCCGCCATCCACGCACTCGGCGATGGCAGCCATGCACACCCACCAGTCGTCGGGGAAAACCTTCGCAAGGCCCGTGACCAGGGCGTCGGAGAAGGCCGCAATGAAGTTATCAGGTGCAGTAGTCGCGACCATCTCCTTCATGACGGCGCTCCGAAGCTCGAACAGGGGCGCCTGTGCTTTGAGCGGCGTGTCGGCAGCATTCTTGGAAACGAATTCGGCGATGGTCTGCACGCGGCTCTCGTCTGCCACGAAACGTTGTATCTCAGACTGCTCGGCGGGCTCACTGGACTTCCCAGCAGGGCTCTGCGACTCCGATGCGTCCATGTCGCCGATGGCTTGCATCAGGCGATCTTGAAGCTGGTTCTGGAAAAGGGTTGACGAAGAACATTTCGCTGACATGATTTGCTTCACGCTCTCCTGTAGCCTAGGCCGCAGCAAGGACCACTTGGTGAACGTCTCGGACCCAACCGTGAGCTGACCTGTGAAGCAGAACTCCACGCCCATAGAGATCGCCATGCCCTTGCACTGGATGGCGTCCAACTCTGGCGGCTCTGCTGGGAGCAACGACACAACCCAGTCAAGGCAAGCGACCAAGTCGTCCAACCAGGTCTTCTCCCGAGTCCTGACCGTCTTGCTCTTGTTGGTGGGACCCTTGTCGTAGGCGACGATGGCGTCCGCGCACTCCTTAGCCTTGGAGGAAGAGGAAGAGGCGTTCGTTCGAGGATAAAGTGTAACGAAGGCACGAGGGAGCGAGGCAACATCATAACTTTAGAGCTTGAGGCCATCTCAAGCTTCGAAGTTGTTGTGCTAACTTTATCCTCGGACTCCAGATGCGAGGTGAAGGTGGAGAAGTGAGGAGAGGAGTGGACGAAGAGGGCGAGGAGTGAGCAGGACAGAGCATACAGACTATGAGGAAGAGGAGGAGGAGGAGGAGGAGGAGGAGGAGGGAGGAGGCTCACAGCCACAGCAGCCTCCATCCCGGCGGTCGGGCTGCCGGGCTTCTTTTTGGGCGTCTTCTGCAGGTTGGCCTCCAGCCTTTTCAAGGCCGCTGAACCCGCCATGCTTGTGATCAGGAGCTTGAGCTTCTCCTTCCCAGGGGAGCGCGGGCATGACAGCCTCTCGAGGCCCCTCGGGACATCCCTAGACCCCTAGATGGCCCATGGTGGCCCCACGACGATCCCCAAAGGGCCACGGTAGGTTTTCATGTCGGAGGGAGGTACCCGGGACCCCGCGAGGTTCAGGAGGATTCCCAGGGGTCCCCGAGAGAGTGTCATGGGTTGCTCTGGAAGGAGGGTCCCGAGTAGGGTACTAGTAGTACAGTATTGGAATAGTCCTGGCCTTTGGGGCCTTCTTTAACAGCCCCAGGCAGTCCCTCCTACCTTGCTTCCTCTTCTACACTTCCGCATCCTCCCTTCTCCTCCTTCCTCCTCCAACATGTGTTGGCAAGGCTCTGAAGTTATCGATTCATTACAACGCCATCCTGTCCTTCACGTTGTCGCGACTGTTGAGAATCCACGGCACCTCCCGAGTACTGACGAACGACTGGAGGAACTGGTTGTTCTTGAAAGAATCTGACCCTGGCGCAGCGTCCTCCTTGCGCGCCACGGTCGGCACCATGAACTTCAGGATCTCGCAGCCCACGGTGATCAGCAGCTCCTTCGGCATCGCGTGCTTGTACTTGGTCTCCAGGACAATCATCAGCTCGTGGATTGCATACGCGGCGAACTCGTTCTTGAGCTCCGTGAACTCGCAGGTAGCCCCGAGTAAGGCCATGGCGGGCTGGTACATGCCAAGACGTTTGAGGGCGTGCAAGCTGGCCTTGGCGTCGTTGAACACGTTGGGGCTGTTGTACTTCTTCGGGTATTGTGTGGACAACCATGTTTGCCGCGCATCCTGGTTCGTGACGTCCTGTCCAGTGCTATGCGCATGCGCCTTCCATTGCGCCTCGGATTTCTCTGTGAGCTGGAAGAACTGTATCAAGGTGTAGCCGCTGCCCTGGTGGAACTCGTTGTGGAACTCCATGAGGAATTCGCACACGTCTGGGGGCGTGCGGCAGCTGTAGATCTGAGCGCCATGCAAGCCCGCCTCGAGCGTCGCCTCCACCTGCGGGTTCTCAGGCTCCCTACTGATCGCATTGTAGATCGCACGCGTAAGCGTGCCGAAGGTCAGCAACTGGTAGGGCGGCACTCCGTCGCCGTCAGGGTCGGCACGATCAGCAGTCAAGACTGCCCATGGCTGTCCTCGCACGCCAGGGACGCTGCCCATACTGAGGACCTTTAGCGTGTAGTCCTCCTCCACCGCGCCCTGGTCACGGTGGTTCATGTCGTGCATCACGAGCAATTTGGTGCCGCTGGTGTTGCCGAAGCCGCTGCTGAAGAAAGGAATGCGCTGGTCCTTCTGCACACGATACCACTTATTCACCGTATTGAGCAATCGTAGCCCAATGAGCCCAGGGAAGCGGTGGCGAATGTGCTCTCGCGGTCCATAGAGAGCATCATGGTGCTTGGAGTCCTCAAAAGATGCAGGAGGCAGGGGCTGCTGGGATTGCTTGCCAACGAAGCGGCTGCGCTTGGTAAGCGGACTCTCGAGCGGCCCGCCAGAGCTCTTCTTCCCGGGACTGGCACATTGGGGAGTGGCTGTGGCCGCCAGCTTGGGCATTGAATGCGGCTTCATAGCCAGGCCAATGTCTCTGGTAGCTCTTGGGGCAAGTTCGATAGGCCACGTTGCCGGAGTGGGAGCCAAAATGGCTACTGACTGCTTGTTTGGTTTTATTCTTATTAATTTTGCTCCTCCCTATTTATTTCCTCCTTACTACGTTTAGGTGATGGCCCTTAGCGAATCCAGGAGTTGTCCTTGGTTGGTGGTCGTTAGTCTGATGGATGGCCTGCCCGAGAGGGTCGAGTCCTTAGTCAGATCCAGGTCCTTGGTGGTCCTTAGTCCGATGGTCCTGAGCCTTAGTAGTAGCGCCCGACAACCACGACCAGGCACGGCGATAAACTTCCCATACTGGTTTAGAATGTTTAGGTATCTACAGGTGTTACTGGGTGTTACTGCATGTTACTCTCGCGATTCAAAGCATGAGGATGCGAGGATGAGGAATGGATCGAGGCAGAGGGAGCGTGGAGGGAGTGAGGGATGGAGTGGAATGTAAGCAGAAGGGGTTCACGACGACGAGTTTGGATTTCGAGCGCAAGAGAGAGCCCAACTTCTCACAGTGGTCTGGGCTCGAGACTCCGATGCACTGCGCCGGCGCCGACTGTCTGATTGCCTCGGCGAATCTGAACACGGGCTGGCTGCTAGCTGCCGCCTGAACGCGGCGAAAAGAAATCGTGGCTCCCTCGGGAGCTGCCACGCGTATCACACGCGTGCTAGAAAGTATTAGATCACACAGCGCGCACCCTGGACTCCCCTGGCTCAGAAACCAGGCCACTGTCATAGGCCTCGCACCTTAACCCCCTTCTTCGATTGCAGGGACTGTTCGGCCGAATGGCCATCGAAGCATCACATGCAAGACCTAGGGCAAACAGCAAACTCACTTCAAATGTTTCAAACTGCTAGTGCTGCTCGTATCTGGCAACCCCCTGCCCCCACGTCTTTCCCTTCGCACTGGCGCCCTTCACCCCTCATCCTCATCCCATGCGTCGCTCGCCACTGAGCGTGCCCATGGGGCCAAAATCAAAATTCACGAATGGCTGACTACTCAATGTAAACACTCGACCTGGAATTCGATCCGGCTTGGCCCAAGGAGGCCCAAGGAGCACCGAGGAGCACGACTGAAATGCACATTGAAACGAAACTGACTCAAAACACTCAAAACTGTTAGGGACTTGGCTGAGGCAAGGCTGCCTGCCATGTCGAACGACCTGTCGCTCGAGCAGCCAACGAGAAGAGAGAGGCAATGCAAGCTGCGCCTACGCGCCCAAGTGCACGTGGAACCCGAAGATGAAGACCCACATCAGCCCGCAGACCGGGATCGGCATCGAGTTGCCCGCCTGCTCCTTCATGTGATGACTCTGCCTCGGCACGCGCGCCTGGTTGAACGAGCAGTGCCGCTTCCCAAGCTTCATGTGGCCCTCGTCGATGATCTTCATGACCTCGTCCGTTGGGAACCCTTGCGCGTTCAAGCACTCCGACCCCGTGAACCATCGGCGATGAGGTGTAGAGAAGAGGAACGGGGAGTTCTTGATGAGAGTGCAAAGGATCTGCTGCGTGCTCTTGTGGGCATGCTTGTGAGGGTTCTGCTGGATGAGGTAGCACAGCTCGCCCATCGTGTCCTTGTTCATCCTCTGGTACTCCCTCCAGTTGTCGAGCTCCCACTGCGAAAGAGCCTTCACGAAAGCGTCATCCACCTCAAGAGTCACCGCGACCCCAGTTGGCCATGCAGAACTCGCTCGCTTTGGGTTTGTCTCGCGAGAGGCCCATTTGAGTTCATGGAGCTTCTCGTCATCGGACGCCACGAGGAAGATCTGCCACGAGTAGATGATCGGGGACTTGAAGAGATTGATCACGTTCGAAAGGGTAGATGTCTGCTCGAGCACCACCGACCTGTGGACCATCACGGTCCACATCCGCTTCCTCCTCTGTGGCAACCCCCTATCCACCGCGTCAATCACCATAGATTCAACGAAATAGGCATCGTGGAAGACGGGGCCAATGATCATGTCAGCGTTGAACTCCTTCGCACACTCGATGATGACGAACCCCTCCTGCATGATGATGCGTTGGCCGGCCCACGCACCAAACGAAGTAGAGGTCGGCCCAGTCTCTCTCCTGGAAAGACCCTGTGGCGAATAGTCCACGCAGGGTAGGCCGGCGAAGTGGATCTTGCTCCCCTTCATCGGGCACTTCTGCCCGTGGACCTTGCAGGGCAACAAAGTGGTGATTGCGCGCTTGGACTTGACGAGCGGAACGAGCTGGCTGAATGGCAAGGGGTAGCCGCCCGCGACCATGTTCGAGATCTTCTTGGCGACGTGAGGCTCCCATGCGTCGTTCAGGTCGGTGAAGAGGCACTTCGGGGGATTGGGGTGCGCCAGCAGCTCGTTCTGGCACTCCTCATTGATCTCCGTGGCATGCACGTGCTCGAGCTCCGGCACCTCGAACCCGACGACGACTGACAACTCGGCCCTGAGCATCGAGAGCGCAGTGCCCGGGGCGTCGATTCCCGAGCACGCAGTCGAGTAGCTGCTGACGAGGAAGTTTTTGAGGAAGATCCTCAGGATGGGTGAGCCTCCAAGCACCTTGAGCGTGTTAAGGTCCCTCTGCGGCCACCCGTGCACGTATTTCAAGCCCTCGCGCACGTCTTCCCCACTTGGCGTCGTCGCTGCAGGCTGGGCTGGCTGGGCTGGGTTGTTGAAGACGGGCCCCGCGGGATTCAGCAACTCCTGGACCGTGGCGTCGCACTCGTGGACAGGGGATGCTGACGTCGCGTCCAGTTGCCGAAGCTGCTTCTGTCTCTTCCTCATCGGCATCGCCTCTGCCGCAGGCTCTGGCGGCGGCAGCGCAACAGGGGCGGCCAGGCTCGAACCCGTCGAACTAGCCGCGGCCGCCGAGGCACCGACGACACCGACGAACACCTGGTCCTCCAGCATCGGCGGGCCTGCTGGGTGCGAATGCGCCAGGGGCACAGGCAGCGCGGACAGCAGCGCCCGCTGCGACGCCAAGGGGTCCGCCACGACCGACGGGGCCCCACAGCTCCCCGGAGACCCATGGTGCAAGACGTTACTCAACCGCTCGTTGAAGGTCAACTCTGGCGGCATGGGCATCACGTCGGCCGTTCGGAACCAATGAAATTGTTGCCAGCCTTTCACGTTGGGCACGTGGGCGCGGGCAGGACTGATGTTGATAATCTCCCACACGTAGAACTTCTCCCTGCCCTCGCCCAGGTAGGCGGTGAGCTCCTGGCGGGTAAGCTGCATCTTGTCCCAGTCGTCCTGGGTCAGCGTGTTGATGTCCCTCCCCCGCACGGAAACGATCTCGCCAGTCCATAAGATACGCACTGGCTCTGCCATTGAAGCACCACATGCACAGAGGTTCACTGGCCCCAGCGACGCACCATTGGACTTGCGCACCTCGTAAGACTTCGGGAACCGCCTACGAGGATCAAACCGAGAAATGTGTGGGAACTGAATCTTCAAGCCTCGCTGAACATCTGGGCGGTCACGCGGGTCATCCGACGGGCCGCGGCTGGCGGACATGGCGCCAACAAAATCGATCTCCGATGTGCTCACAAGCGCCGGAAATGACCTCAACTGAGAGATCGCGAGATTGCTCGACCACAAACGTCTGCGATCTGTATGGGTCTAGAGCGGGGGACATGATTGATTCAGTCGGGGCATTGTGTTGCAGCTTTTGGAGACTGGTTGCCAAAAGTGAGCCCTTTTTGGGGACGAGTTGCCAATTATAGCAGCTTTTGGGGACTAGTTGCCAAAAACGAATGGCTTTTGGAGACTACTTGCCAAAAGTGAGCCATTTTGGGGGACTAGTTGCCATTTTCGTCTGGTTTTGGAGACTGGTTGCCAAAAACAGACCTGGGTCGTTTTGGAGACGAGTTGCCAAAAACGATCCGTTTTTGGGGACGAGTTGCCAAAAATGACCCATTTTTGGGGACGAGTTGCCAAAAATGGCAGCTTTTGGGGACTAGTTGCCAAAAATGATCCCTTTTTGGGGACTAGTTGCCAAAAATGATCATTTTGGGGGACTAGTTGCCAAAAATGGCCCCCAGCAGTGGTGGAGGTTTAGTTGCCTAAGGGGCAGGTGGAGGCTGCGGGCGCCCTCCGGCAGCGGCCGTGGGCAGCGTTTCGCCTCGGACCGAGGGGCCAAACAAGGTTTGGAGATCCCCGGGTGGGCTCGACTGAGCCTTGGCCCCTCAGGGACCGCTGGCCGAGGGCAGGAGGTCCCTGAGGTCCTGAGGTCCAAGTCTCCAGGGCCAACTCGGGCCCTGGAACACCCGGGGCCCGGGGGCGGGGGGGGAGTGGTGGGCAGTAGTGGGCATGGCGGCATGGCGAAGGAGGAAGGAGTGGGCTGGGTCCCCCTACGGCCGGCCGGTGGCTCGCTCGCTCGCTCGCGCATTCTCCTGCTCGCTTCCATCGTCCTCGTCCACCTCTGCTCCCCACTCTCTTCCAGCCCTCCTTCTCCTCCTCCTCTTCTTCCTCCTCCTCCTGCTCCTCCTGCTGCTCCTCTTCCTCCTCCTCCTCCTCCTCCTCCTTCTCCTCCTCCTCCTCCTCCTCTCCCCCATCACCAGCATCTGCATGCTAGTGCGAGCGCTGCGACTGACAGCTGGCAAGGCCATCGACTCTACCTAGCAGTGGCGAGGGCCAGCGCCCTTCTTCGAGAAGCCTCGGCGAGACGCAGCTGGATGATGGGCTTGCCCGACCTGGACCTTCAAATGCCGTGGACCGTGGGCCCCCTCGGGCCCCTCTACTCGTCGCCTGGGAGTTCCTTGGGGACAGATTCGCTGCACCACCGGCGGAAGAGGAAGATAGGAGGATGATGAGGAAGAAAGATAAGGATGTTGCAGCCGGCCGCAGCAGCCGGCAATCCAACTCCGAACAACTGTGCGCAGAGCGGGCACAGCGCCTCGAGCACGCCAGTCGCACTGGCCTCCTCGTAGGTCACCCGCGTGAACGTCGCTCGAACGCTGTGCACCTGCTCGCTCAGGAGGGCGGCGGCGTCCA